GCGTATTTAACGGATCAAGCGTATCGAGTTGAACAAGAGTGGATCAAGTGTATCCAGCGGTACAAGAGTGGATCGAGTGGATCTAGCGGTCCAAAATATATGTATGAATGGTAAAAGTGGATAAAAAGTAGTCGAAAGTACTGTATAGATTTAAAATAATTTATATTACTATTTAATTTCATAATTGAAAGTACTTATTTTAAAAATAAATTATATATTTTTATTCAAATAATAATAATTTTAAGTTAAACAATTTTAATTTAAATAATGCCAAAAAAACATAAGACATAAAATAAGAACAAAATATTGTGCTTTAGTTTGTTTTTAAATTATATAAATTCATATTTTTGTTAAGATTAAAAAAAATAAGAGACATTTATATGACTGACCTGTTTAAAGTAGTATGTATTACATATTATAATTAAGGAATAATTTACAAGAAAATAAATAAAGAGAAGAACCACTTGTAAAGCTTTTTAACCACTCCAAAATAGAGTAGACAAAGCGGAACAAGCGTTGCGGATTTAGCGGATCAAGTGGATCGTGTGAAACAAAAGTGAATCAAACAGATTGAGTGGAACAAGAGTGGATCAAGCGGATCTAGTGGTTCAAATCATAAGTTTGAATAGTGAAAGTGGATAAAAAGTGGTTCAAGATACTATACAATTTAAATTAATTTATATAAAAATTGATATATTATTTATTTTCATAATTAAACGAGTTATTTAAATATACTTTCTAAATGAAATAATTATATTTTGTAAAAGTGGTGTAAAATCAATTAAAATTATTTCTCAAAAATAATTAAATTTTTTATTTACAAATTGTTTTACTTAATTTTTTTTAAAAATATTTAAATTTCTATTACTATATTTCTTAATTAAATTACTTATTAAAAATATAATTTTAATGTCAAAATAGTAATTTGAATTCAAAATATAATAGACATAAATTTATATACATATATATAATTATATTCAGCTTTAAATTAAATATATAAAATAATAACTTTGGATGATTTTAAAGCAATTATATTTTTTGGTAAAAATATAATTTTGAGCTTTAATATTAACTAACACATCAAAATTAAATAATAGTTTTCAGCTAGAATATTAATTACTTTGTTAAAAATTATAGTACTATTATGTTCATAATTTAAATAATTATTTTTTAAAAATAATTTATAAATTTAAAATTAAAATATTTATTAAAATATAATATAAAATTATTTTACACATGTATTATTATTTTGAGTTTTAAAACTAATATGTATATAACTTCGGACGATTATAAAATAATTATGATGTTGGGCTTTAGTATTACATAACACATCAATTTTAACATATTTAAAAAAATCTGAAAGAAAATAACTTATTCTTAAGAACATAAAATACAATGCCAAGTAAAATATCATATATGACCAAGTTGGGTTTGGATAATTTTATAGATTATACAAATCTTATTTTCATTAATATTAGATTTTTGGAGATGTTTATGTGACAAAAACCATTTAAATATAAAATTATATATTATTAAAACAGAAAAATGTATTAAAAAAGTGAACTACTAGAAACACTCAAAAATAGATGAGTAGCTACTGTAGTTGGTGTTGGTGATTTTTCCTCACAAATTTGAACCGCTAGACAGTTAATAATATAAAAAGTAGATCCTCCTACAATTAAAAATAACATGTTGAATGAGAAACTAAAGGGCTGTTCACACATCTAGGTATCTCTCATATTTTTCCTGCTCTCCAATCATACTCTATGATTCACTAGCGGTTCTCGTTTTCCTTTACAAATAAGGAACTAGTAGAGGTTCAACATTTTTTTACTATTATAATTTTGTTGGAATGTAAATAACAAACATTTTATTTTGAATGGAGAGTTATCTAAGTGGATGATTCACCTGGTGTGATAACAGTAAAAAACTACTCCCCACTCGAAACCTTAAAATATCAGCAGCTCATTATATTTTTTTTTTATATTCCGAATTAATGTAACTTTCAATATTCCATATCTCTTATGCTCTATTTATTTTTTGTTTGTAAGTTCTTATTAATTTTAAAAATTTATGAAATATGAACAAACAAATTATCACAAATTAGTTTTAATACCCCATGAGATATTTCATAAAGAAAAAATAATGTCCATGTTTACGTATTATCATATTATACCTTTTATGTTTTATTCTTTATAGAAAATGCCACAAAAACAAAGATGAGCAATCAATCACTAAAACATTGTTTTCTAAAATAATATGTATTTTTTATCTTTGGATTATATTTTATTTGATAGGAAATTCATATTTAATAACATATTTCATTATTTTGTTTACATACTTAAATTACTGTACATAATTTAGTTATAGTTGGAGCATCAATTTTTAAATCGCTTTAGTCGCCGCAGAAATATGAATCGGCACTGATTAGTCATCACCACATGTCCTAATATTGTTAATAATAAATATGAGTTACAGTAGAACCTCTATAAATTAATATTCGATAAATTAATAATCTCTATAAATTAATAAATTTCACCGGTCCCAACTTGGACCGGTGTAAAAATTACACAAATCGATAAAATAATAAGATAATAATATTTTTAAAACTGCCATGTAAATATATGGTCCCACTAAAATCATAAATTAATAATCTAGCTATATATAATTTTATATAAGTACAATCTAACATTATTCTGTTGGTTTTATATTTACTATAAAAATAATTTTATTTTTTTAAACATTTAAATATATTTTGATAATAATTAGTTAGGTGTTTTATATTTACTATAAAATACTTTTATTTTTTAAACATTTCAATATATTTTTGATAATATTTAGTTAAATTATATCGAAAACCATGTAACAATCTATGAAACATTAAAATATACACCAAATAAGATAATAAAACAATTTAAAAGTCAAATTTCTAAAATTTAAATAATGTACATATGCTAAAATCAAATATTTTTTATTTTATAAATAAAAATGGAAATTTTTTTAAAAAAATCTAAATAAGAAAATTTTCGTAAATTAATATCTCTATAAATTAATAAAAATTCAAAGTCCCAACATTATTAATTTATAGAGGTTTTACTGTATCTTTTTTGATTGTATTATAAATATGATGTGAAAATGATAATAAAAAGTAAGTTTAATTTATTAATGCTCTCTCTTTCTCTCGTAAATCTAACAAAAAAATAATAATAATCGCATCTCTTTCCCTAAGATCAACCAACCATACAATAAAAAATAGAGACAATCTGCTGAGACACCCTAAATGGACCTTAAATAGTGACTTACTTATGATTTGACATTAAAACTACTATTTTTACAATGTGTTCGGTATTGGACGAAAATGTCCTTATTCAACTGACACACTTTTCTGTTGGTTACAGCAAAATCAGAATCCTAGTGTCACCTACTTCACTTTGTTCACATGTTTGCTAGATTTTTCTAAATGCTAAAAATATTATCAAATAATAATATTATTGAAAATATAATATAAGAATATTATAATAGGTAAAATAATTTAATATTTGATATAATTGAAAACATAAATTACAATTGATTGTAAGATTTCAACATCTCTAAATTTACAATCTATTATAAATTCGATATTAGTGTTTGTTAGCGGTTAACTCATTTGTTAACTGATACATGTTTTGTTACTTGATAAATTTACTCAGTTCGAGAGAGAAATTGGAACTTCGACAATATTTATTTGTTAACGTAATACCTAACACAAGTATTAACATTTACAAATTTGTTAACAACTAACACCTCTGTTAATAATTATGGTACATGTATTTGTTAACAGCTAAGACATTTGTTAACATCTACAAATTTTGTTAACAGTAATGCCTCTGCTAATAAAACTGGTACATATATTTGTTAATAGCTAACACCGCATTATTTTCTATATATATTATTAACAATACATCTGTTTATATTGTATATAGCAAATAATAATTTGAAACCTCAAGATAAATTTTTTTTCATCAGATAAAGAAAGAACAAAATAATTAGAAGAGAGAATGACAAAGAAAAAAGATGATAAGAGAGTTTGAGAATGAAAAAAAAGTGAAATCGAATACAAGAGAAAGAGTGTCAGGAGAGAGAATAATGAGAGTATAGACAGAGAGATGCAAAAGGGCATTTTGGTTATTTTTTTTTGAAAAAATCACATCATAGATAATTTACTAATTAGAAAGTGATTTAGGGTATCACAGCAAATTATCTCTAAAGAATATCTCACCCTTATATTATGCAACACTTTTATATTAAGAACCATCTTTCTTTTCCCCCGGTCACTCACTCCACTCACTCATGATTGACACAGCCAAACTGAACATATTAAATCTGACCCGGTTTTAAAGTATAGCAGAGGCCTGTTCAGTTTACGAACGTGGCGTATATAAACTGTAGCACTACTCCACTTTTACACTACAACAGAAGATAACTTCTGCGAAGGGGCATTTTCGTAAGAATGCAGATTCCTTGATTCATTAAAAGCTTTGTCCTTTACTCTCTCTCTCACTCCCGCTCCGCTTCCCAAAGCATTTTATTTTGGCTTAAAAGTCGATCCATCTTCTTTGCGTTTCTCCTCTCCTTAATAAGAAATAGAAACCCTAAAAGCTCTTTTATTCAGAAGAAGACCCACCACCTCCTTAGATCTTGGTCCCACCTCCACAGTTGTAACTTGTTTTGCCCATTTCCTTTTCCTTTTTGTTAGTGTCTAAATTTGTTACCTTTCGAATCCGGTTGGTGATATTTTCCCGGTTATTGTAAACCCTTTCATACTGCTATTTATTTTCTCTGTTTCAGGGAGTTTTCCTTGTGGATGCATAGGCTATGATTTGTGGTAGAGTTAGTTGATTAGATTCTCATGATTATGATGAATCACTCTCCTTATTGAGAATCCGGATGTTAATTTTCTGGAGGTTGATATGAATAACCGGTTAACAGTTTCAAGACTCGTTAGTGATTCGGCTACTGGAATGGTGAAAGCAGTTGAGACTGAAGCTGCTGATAAGATTGCTCAGACAGAAACTGAAGGAAACGAAACGTCGCAGTCTCGTTTGATGCTTGATGAAGCGTGTAAAGATGATGATGACTATGAGCAAAGATTGTTGTTGCAGGAATCTTGTGATGAGAAAAGTTTGGTACTTGAGAAGGCCAAAGAGATTGCTGGTTTGCGCAGGGAACTAGAGTTGTTATCTAAGTTGCTTTCGGGTCATGAAAAGGGAGACATTAAGACTTTGGAGGACCATGAAGGAGCTGATTTACTGCAACGTAAAGTCTCTGGAAGACTTGGTAAACATATAGGTTCTGTCACGTCAAAGCCTGAGAATTTTGAGTATTTAAGACAGTTATCGCGTGAGCAGCTGATCAACCATTTTCAGACAGAGATGAGTGAGTTGAAAAGAGAGCATGAGTGTACAATGCAAGAGATGACTGAAGAGTATTTTAGCATTCAGAGAAGGTACTCGAAACTAGAGGAGTGTCGTTCATTTTCTTCTTTCAAAAAGGACAAGAACTGTGATTTTCTGCTAAAGAAGATCCCTGATATCATTTCGAAGCTGGATAAGGTTGTATCGGAAGATGACAAGCTTAAAGGAAAGAGCAATGCTGATTCCAAGAGTCAATTGGATTCTCTGCTTCTACAAAATCGTCAACTTAAAGATTCACTATTTGAGGCTGAGGATAAGATGTCACATCATCGAGAGCTGGTCAGGAAGCTTGAATCAGATGTTAAGGATTTGCATGCTGAAGCTTCTATCTATAAAGATGTTTATGGGTCTTTTGTGGGAGAGTTTGTGAACCAGATTCAGTGTGCAAAAGAAGAGGCTAATAGAGAAGAAGCCTGTGCAAGCAAGGGTTCTCTTGATGACTCTTGTGTTGAGTCCTACATGGCAGACGAGTACTGCACGGTGATATACAAAGAAGCTTTGGAGGAAGCTGGTAAAATGATTGGAGAGTTGAACATGAGTGTATTAGAAAGAGAACGATCAGTGACTGCTGAGAAGGAACTGCTGAAACAAAAGATTCATTCGCTGGAATATTTTGTTACGGAGAAGGAGAATGATTTGGCTACAGTGAGGCAGAAACTAGAGATAGTCTTTCAACAAGTTAACAATCTGCAGTCTCAGATTGATAAACAAGCAGTAGTGATTCAAGATAAAAATAAAGAACTGAGAGTTGCTTCATCTCGCGCTCTGGAAAAGAGAGAAGGTTATGTTATGGAGATATCCGAGTTGACACATAAGCTAGAGTTAGCTAGAAAGAATCTGAAGACAACCGAAAATGAGAAAATGAAGTCTGAGCTGAAACTATCAGCAACACAAGCAGAGCTAAAACTACTTCAGGATCAGATTGTAACTACGGTTCTGAGTTTCGCTAAATGGAGTCAAGATGTCGAATGTTTGGTAGCAGAAAAGACTAAAAAGACAAACACTAGGTTAACTCAATCTCTGTTTGTTTGAAAGTTTGCTTTAGACATAATTATCTATGCATTTGATGTATGAGCATTTGTTGATTTGTAGGTTGAAAAGTATGCAGAGCCAATTGAATGATCTTCTAGATGAAGTGGATGAACTCAAGGTGAGAGAATCGATGTACAAGCAACAAATGGAGAAGAAGACTTGTGACCTCCAAAAGGCTGAGACTGAGGTGAGTTTCTATTGTTCCTCTATCTTCAACGGTTCGTAGAAGCTTCTATTAACCCTGTTTTCTTAATCACATGTAATAGAGTGAGTTGTTGTTTTCCTTCTTCAGCCATTTAGTAGAATGACAGATCTTTTTTTATCTGCCACTTGAATCGTAGGTTGATCTTCTTGGTGATGAGATCGATTCTCACTTGGATCTCCTTCAGAAAATATATATAGCTCTTGATCATTACTCACCAATTCTGAAGCATTACCCTGGCGTAAGCAGACCCCTCTCTTAGTATATGAAGCTTGCATTGTTACTACGCTTTCATCATTTTTTCTGAACTTCATTTCTTGCAGATTATGGAGATCTTAAAGCTTGTCCGGAGAGAATTGAGAAGAGACTCTAAGAGATTATCAGTATTCTGACATAGGCTTCATATAAATTTAGTAATCTCTCTTTTCACACAAGTTTCATTGCATCTCTGTTGTCGAATGTACACATCCTCTATCAATGCATCTTGTCTAGTACGTAGGTAGGTTTTGGAACCATAGAGATAATCGGTAGTAAGAATTGGTGTTGACGATGGTTTTTTTAATATCTACTTGATCATAGGTTGATCTCGTTGAATACAAAATAGTATCTCTCTTGGGCCGTCTTAAGAAAATTTCTAAACCCTCCAATTCTAAAGCATTTGAGCATCTCAAGAAGGTGCAAGAGATCATATATATAAACAAAAACTGGAACTTGACAATACCAAGAATTGGGCTTTGACATTGAGATTTTATGTGCTATTGTACATATGTACCAGTACAACAAAATAAAAATAGATGACTATGGCGTGTGCTAAAAAGATTCAAGAACCATCGATTTGGACAGTTAAGAAATTCATGGCCAACAATGCTGCTCCAACAGCTGGCTCTACCTGAAGAACAAAGCAATATTTACTTATCCAATCGTTGGGAGAGAAAGAGGTAATGAATGAGAAGTAAAATTCTGAACCTTTGGTATGATAGTGTGAGCCCCGGGAAAGTAACGATTGATGCGCTTTGAGACTTCTTTTCCAATGTCCCATTTCATATTAGCGTTTAGGACACCCCCCACCATTACAACCGGGAAAGGAGCTGTCCCATCTGCAACGAGAACAATCTGACACTATTAAGGAACCAGAGTGGCAAATGAAAACTTGAAAAAAGGTCTGTTGGATATGTGAAACCACCTTCGCCACATAAACCAAGTCTCTGTACAACAGCTTTCACACTTAGAGCTAAATCATCAGCTGCATCAACCAAGATTTTATCTGATATTTCATCACCAGCTTCTGCACAAGATACTACTTGAGGAACAAGAGCAGCTATACGTGCCCAAGATGGATCAGCATAAGTCCACCTACATCCAGAAACGTTAGATATTACCATTTTGATGTGGCGTTGGTGTTATCGTCCCAAGGGATAGTAAAAGAATGTAGTACCTCTCTTCATTTCTGAAGAGTCATGCTACCAAGAAAGCTACATGTATTGAGACCAGGTCATTAGTTTGGAAAAAGGTACCCGATGAGTTCATCTGGAGAGGAAAGTCCAAGCGCTTTTAAGATGGTACTTGTGAGCATCGTTTCTGGACCACGCCCATCATGAGCTCTAATCACCGCTGTTAAGGCTTGCGCAGAAATCCCATAGCCACTGTTAAATAATCACATCAAGTCATCGGTTACATTCATCAAACAGCTTATGGTAGTCTATAGCTTCCATCACGAGCTGACTCATGCATCTATGAAACCTTATAACCTAACATCTTTCCATTTTCCATGCGATTCAGCACAGATGATAAAAGAAACCCCCACTGGGTAGGAGAATGTGAAAGCAGAGACATTGCGGTGTGCTTTTTTCACCATATTCGTAAAATGGTAGGGGAATAAACCAAAGAAAGGAAAGGAAAATACCTTCCCCAATCACCTAAGATAGGTCCAGCACCAGAGGCTCTAGCCTCCCTGCCATCTTCATCAAAGCCATAGGCTATACATCCAGTACCGGCAATCAAAACACATCCATGAAGCTTTCCCATAGTCCCACTAGCTAAAGCCACTATAGCATCATTCTGAACATATACCTTGACATGACTTGGGAACATGTCCCTGAAAAAAACATAATGAGGAGAAGCTAGTAAGAACAAGATAATTAACACATCAAACTCCTATAACCATATACATGAGTACCACCTTATCCAATTTTCAACCATTTTCTGGTCAGAGGGATGATTTACACCAGAAACACCTAAGCATACAGCGCGAACATCTGATTTATCTGAACCGGACTGTAAAAGTGCCTCGGAAATAACTTGCTCTAAGGAATCTTTCGCTACAGTCTCTGCATACGTAGTAAACAATGTACTGAATCAAAGTGGTGCCCCACAAGTATAACCAAACATATTGTTGCAATGAAAGCCAATAGAACCAAAGAGGCACATTACATAACTGAAAAAGACTTCTTATCAAGATTGTAATCCAAATCCAATTCCACAATTAAAAGTGAGAAAGATTCGAAATTGGGGGAAGAGAGAGATAAGAGGGAACCTCCTACGCTATTGCGATTGGTGCAACCGGCGACGGCTCGACCGAGGATCGGAATAGGCTCAGGGAAACGATCTCCGTACGGGAAAAACGGCACGCAGACGCAGACCGTTGAGGTGGCGCCACCGTCGAGGCCCAAGATGACGCCATCTCCGAAGCCGTTCTCCTCCGTTTCTTCTGGAAGGTTTCCATTGCTATGCGGATTCCTCATTTACATCCAAAAGAAAAAAACTCGGAAATCTAACAACCGAGATGATGAGATCAAGGATGATGGAGAAATGGGTCGTCGGAAAGTTGGTGTATTTCGATCGATCGGAGATCAAAGATTGGTTGGGATACCTCAATTTTCAACGAAAGATTAGATATTTCATTCTTGAAAATGAAAATGCGTAATTCACGAGTTTATTTTTTTGATTTAGAGGTTTATCAACGACAAGGAAACAAAACAAAGCAATATCCACGTGATTTTTCTTCTAATTTGAGGTCCAAATCTTACTCAATAATTAATCTTACTCAATAATTGTTAATTCTTATTTGCCAATCATTTGAGTTGGGGGGATATATTTTGCCAATTTTAATTCAAACTAGATTTTGACTCGCGGAAATTTTTTATGATTAAAAATTTATATAATTGAGTTTTGTCTTAATTTAAAGAATGTTTTGGTATAAAATCAGTTCACCAAAATTTGTGGTGATGATTGTTTTTCATTAGTTTTTAGTTTCAGTTTTTATTTTTAGATTTTGTTTTAGATTTTGGTTTTTGGTTTTTAGTATTTAAGTTTCTACTTTTGATTTTCAGCTTTTGATTATGTTTTTAATTTTTAGACCCTTTGAGTTAGTTTGAACTGATATTACCAACAAACAAATCCTAAATAATCGAACATCTAATTTAAAACTGAAAAGATGACAAAAATTTTGCAATAGTTTATTTTGTAAATAAACAAAAGCAAAAAAAAAATATAACTTGCGTTTTCAGCTTTTGGTTTTTAGATTTGGTTTTAGTTTTGCTTTACATTTTTTTTAAATCAGTAAATTATTTAAGAAAAATAAAACAATAAATTATTTAAAAGTTACCACTGAAATTTATCAAAATAAAGTGATTGTTATTTAAAATAAAAAATACATTAACATGTTTTAAAGTACATGATTTAAATAAATGATTAATAATAGATAATTTTGTTTTGTTAAAAATATTAAATACCTTTTGGGCCTAAAAATAATAATTGATTTTTTTTATCTATTAAGGTGTAAAGTTTATTCAATGTTTTTTGAGTTTTTCCTTAATACTAAGCCCAAAAACCAAACTATATAATTTGTTTTAAAAACAAAAGTAAACCCAAGACTATATCCCATAAATAACCATCAGTTTAATTTAAGTAATCTGGTTTAATTAATTATATGGCTTGTGTTATATATTTGTAACGCTCTAGAAAGGGTCCAAATTTAAATGACAACTTGTATCAGTAGATAAAAAGAATGACTCTGTTTTAATAGAGTAGAAGTTAGTGTAAGTGTTGGGAAAAATATAGCAGTGTGGTAAAAAACTAATTACCAGTCCCATTGTTTAAAATAGATACTTGATGGGGTCATAATATATAAATTAGCTATATATATATATATCATCATAACAAAAATGATTTTTTTACAAATTAATGAGGCATATGAAATTTTCTACATATATGAGATCAAATGCCAAATTTTACCAAATTTTGACTAAATATTATAGTAATTTTAGGAAAAAATATACTATTTTTTTTTTAATTTTATTAGAGTCAAGTGACCCAATATGTCTCTTTGTGCCTCCGTGCCTCGATAGATCATACATAGGAAAAGAGATAGGTATTGTGATTTTGATTTTTAGGTGTATATGCTTGCATGTGCTAGTGTGTTAACTAAATAAAATCATACCAAATTTTGCTTTTCTTTGTTTCCCTGAAAGACAACCGTAATCCCATTAAGAATTCATAATGAAGAGACTTCTTAGTTTTATTTGTGTAACAAGTCCCAAACACATGACATGTTTTGTCGAGGCAATACAATAACACATTTTCTCAACTAAAATAAGCTGTGATGGCTTTCAGTATGCCTCCAACACAGTTTTCTTCAATCTGAAAATCATAATATATGAAAATTTTGTCAGGAGTTTTGCAAATAAATGAATTCTCACTCACTGTGTTCTTACTTTGACCAATGCATTACCTCAAAATTTAGTGGTGGTGAGGAGAGCCAAGCAAGCTCTTCCACTTGTGCTAAATCAACATTTATCGGCAGAACCATTATGATGTTAGGCGTAATGGACTGAGCAATCTGAAACAGTTTGTACCTACACAAAACTTGGTCAAAAAGAATCAACCGATGTTGCATTTCAATAACTGTAGATACTGATCACAAAATCTATCATCAATAGTTACCCGTCAGTTGGTTGGAACATGTCCATTGTGTAAGTCTCAACTTTGTTATACATTGGTCCTCCCCATAGTGGTGTTAGAAACAATACGTCTCCCTAGCCCAATAACAAAAGAATCAGTATATATATTTGACATATAAAAGTGGTAAAAAGACAAAAAGAAATTACTTTAAGAGATTGATACAGGCTGGAAATCAGGGATGGCAAGATGGGTGATGGAAGCTTAAGTGGATCAACCAAATGGTTGATCGGGTGGGCGAGATAAAGAGAATTCAAGTTATGAACCTGAAACAAATGAAAAACGAATTAGTTGATGATGACAATAAAAATAAAACAAGATAAATAAACAAAGGAAAATGATAGATATGGCGGAATCAAGCTGCTGGATGTGTATCACTCTCAGCTTGATCAAATGATGGATCGAAGTGGATTTATGGATGAAGGGGCGACTGAATCTGTCAATCTGGTGGGATGATGGAACGATGTGATTAACTCTTTCAACCTGCATACTGAGTTTGTTTGATTTGCACAAACAAATTATACTCACGAAATCAACATAACAACAAAGAATGACATTTTGAATCCTAAAGATCGATATTTTATACAAAGAACAATCTTTGATAAAAACTGAATAAACTTCTTATAAACT